GACATTTGCTCCTTCTTGTGTTTTTGGGGAAATTTAGTACCTTAAATCTTTTCATGACATTCTTAGCTCGATCATGCAGGAAATTGATTTGTTGGTCTAAACCGTCAAACAACGCTACTGGATCATAAAGAAACTTCATAATCTTGAAGTTCAAAGAACAGCCTTGGATTTTGTGGAATGCGAAAGGGAATTTGTAGACCCCTTGGATAATTTGGTATGGATGCTTTCACGATGGCTGTTAAAGTGGAGATTGGACTATGGTGCAGTTGATCTAAAGGCGGTCGGGATTGATTTTTGGTCATTTTGATTAATTAGGATATTGGTTTCTATTTCGATTTGTTTAAGATAATTTATTTGTTTTTCAAATGTCTTCACTAGAAATCTTTTTCTTCCTTCATTATAATTATTTTGACAACATAATTGATTTTCATGCTTGTGTACAATAAAGTTCACCTTGATTCCTTATTTGTTACATTGTACTTGATTACATCTCGTTGCATCGGATGAGTAGTCAATTAATAGGAATCGAGGTTTAAATATTTTTAAGGGTTCTCTTGAAAGATCGAATATTTAAATATAACTTTTGTTCTTTGTAAAGAATAATTGCACTAATGTTTAGTTGTAGGTTTCTTAGAAAATTTGACATTCTGCCACATTGCACGAATACACAACTAGTTATACTATAAATGATAAGAGCATGAGCTTAGTTTAAAATCCTACAATGATCTGTCCAATGTAGTTTAGTTTCCACATTATAAATTGTTAAAAAGGGGTTTTCCTTTTTAGCAACATATTATGTATTTAGTTGAAAAACTTGATAACTTTATTCAATCCTAAGACTAATTTGATTTTAAATGCCATAAAAACTATACATTTCTTGTATAGCATAGAATGAACAACAATAGCATTGACTACTCAACAGTAGTATAACCTATAGAAATATTAATAATAACTTGGCCAAATAACACATGAATATATTGACAAAAGAGGAATGAGAAAAATAAAATTGCCCAAAAGAGGAGAATAAAAATGAAGAGCATATATATATATATATATATAGAGAGAGAGAGAGAGAGAGAGAGAGAGTGTGTGAGTGTGTGTATGTGTGTGTGTGAGAGAGAGTATGAGTGTGTGCGTGTGAGTGTGAGTGTGATTGAGTAAAGGGGGGCCAATTTGTGTAGCACCCTGTGGCTGTGCGTGGCTTCAATTTCCATGGAGTCTTAATTTGCTACTTCTAGTATTAGTATATTCTACTGGTCACACTTATAAACCAGTATCAGATTTTGTGTGTGTGTTTGTGCGTGTAGAAGTGTGTGAGAGAGAGTAACATGTCACGGGTTTGTCTTGAAAGGCTCTTATTTTACACAGTCCAAGACAGACACTCAGACACATATTCTCTCTTCCTTCTCTCTCTACAAATTCGAGGCTCTCTCTCTCTATCTCCATTAGTATAAAGTATGTTACCACAAGTATCATCATTATATATTAATATTAAATACGATTAGATCCCCTTTCTTTTCCTAATAAATGTATTTTTGGTAGGTTTAAATTTGGCTTAGTTATAACCGGTAGTGTACTATGGTTTTATAGATCATACTACTTTTTCTACGTCTCTTTTTAATTTCTAGAAAAAAGCTAGGTGTTTAAAAAGAAGTATTAAACGTCAAGATTTGAACTCCAGTTTTCAAACCCATCTTCCACCAACCCTCATCTCTCTCTCTCTCTCTAGAATCATAAGCAGAACACACCAAGAAGATTTGAAAGAAGGATCTATTGTCATGGCGTTGATGTTGGATAACTCGTGTGAAGGGATATTATTATCATTAGATTCCCATAAATCAATGCCTGCTCCTTTCCTCACAAAAACCTATCAACTGGTCGATGATCCCACCACTGATCACATTGTGTCATGGGGCGAAGACGATACAACCTTCGTTGTGTGGCGACCACCAGAATTCGCTCGTGATCTCCTTCCGAATTACTTCAAGCACAACAACTTCTCCTCCTTTGTACGCCAACTCAACACCTATGTATGTAATTGTTTCTTTGTTTTGGTTGGAGCTTTGATGTATGTTCATCTTCGGGAATACTGATTTTTGGGGTTTTTTTTTATATTTAAATTATTAGGGTTTTAGAAAAATTGTACCAGACAGATGGGAGTTTGCGAATGAATTCTTCAAGAAAGGAGAAAAGCATTTGTTGTGTGAGATCCACCGTCGGAAAACATCACAACCGCACGTTGGGCTAAACCATCACCACTTCACCGGCATTGGCGGAGGAAATGGTTTCTTTTCTTACCCACTTACACGTGACAGCATCTCTCCGACAGACTCCGACGACCACGTATGCTGTGACTCTCCACCACCTCTCTCTTCATCAACCACCACCGGAACTGCATCAACAGCAGCTGGTTTGTTCGGAATCTTTCCGAGTAACAGTATCAGTAGTAACGGCAGAGGTAACTCCGTCACGGCACTGTCTGAAGATAACGAGAGGCTACGGAGGAGCAATAACATGTTGATGTCGGAGTTGGCACATATGCGGAAGCTTTATAATGATGTTATCTACTACGTACAAAACCATGTGAAGCCGGTGGCACCCAGTAACTCATACCCTTCATCTCTTCTCTTACCTTCTACTAATGGCCCATTAATGATGCAAAAACAGCAGCAGCAGCAGCAGCAACAGCAACAACCAACATCCTTCTTCAATGCCGGTAGTAACCCAAATGTGACCGTTGTTTATCCTAGTAAACCTCAGCAGCTGCAACTTCATGATTCGACAATCAACAACATGGTAAGAGATCAAGATAAAGTAAACGTTATAAATAGAACGAAGCTTTTCGGAGTTCCATTGCTATCTAAGAAGAGACTGCATCCAGAGTACGGCAGTGCCAACACAATGGTGGAGGCTCATAAGGCAAGGTTGATTTTGGAAAAGGATGACTTAGGGTTAAAACTCATGCCTCCTTCTCCCTGTTGATTTTTTTTTTCTTCTTATTTTTTGAACAATTTAAGTTCGTTTGACTATTTTACTTACTAATCAAAACCAGTTTTTTCATATCCCTTAATTTAGTTTAATTTATCTGGTCTTGATTATATTTTGCAGTTGGAACAAAATAAGTTGGGACATGTTATGGATCTGTTTAGCATATCTTTCTGTTTTGACATCTGAAACTTTCAGTTCAGTCTCATTAATGCATGTGTCAGTCATCCCTTCTAATAAGACATGTTTGTGTTCAATGCATTAATGGTCACAACAGTATATCCCCATTTTCTCATATCACCATTTCTAGTTTGTCGAATTTCTGGACTCCAGCTTCTAGTTTCTAGCATACCAAATAAATGGGAACTGAGGAGCTGGTTACAGTTCACCAGCTTATTACTTCTACTTTCTAGCTTCCAGACACTAGAATCGTTCTTTACCATCTCATCTTGACATATAGCTAGTTTCTAGCTTCCAGGAAATCGTAACTATATACCCTTGTTGATTTCTCAGGAACTTGTAATTATCCCAAGTTCCGGTTTCGATCTACCGAGAAATTGGAAAGCTTATTTGCCTAGTCTCCAGGTTCAAGAAATCAGAAGTGTTATTCATGAGTTTATTATGACTAGTTACCGGAAATCAGAATCGACTGTTAATTTTATCATGAATAAACCGAGATTTCCAGTTTCTAGTTTTTCAGAAATCCGAAAGCTTATTCGCACTCCTATTTTCTAGCTTCTTTGGAATCAAAAGTTCTTTTCCTAATTGGAAATTAACTTGGTTGAACCTTGTAAAAACATACATCCCCATCATTAAGTTAGATTTCTTTTCTGTGAATTATATCTACAGGTATGCATACACCCACATCAATGAATAGAGATAGATCAAGATACATGTCTTTCTACCCGAAAAGATGGATGTTAAAAGTAATTTAATTTAGAACCGACATAGTACTAGTTTGAAATTAGATTCTCATAATTATCATCAATGTATCTATTTTCAAGATTCAAATCATTTGCAAAGAAAAGTAGTAAGATCTAGAGAAAAGAATGAAGAAATTAAAAAGAGGGTCATCATCATCATCAAATCTTTGTTGTTAAGGTTATGATCTCAAAATACTAATCTGTTCAGCAAAACTCATTTAATTACTTGTTTATTTTCCATATTTTTGGAAGACGTGTACAAGGAAGACAAGAACATGGAAACAAAAACGATTAGTTTGTGTGATTCCATGAAAGCGAAGCATTGGTGATCGAAAAAACATCACCAGCAAAAGTCGGGTTTTTTAACGTTCCAATCAATCAACTCCCCTTCCATCTCTTCTTGCTTCTGATACATCTTCTGACCACCAAAGATAAAAGGAATATCTTTCCCTTTAACTTTATTTTTTTTCCTCTTCCTCTTTGGATCCTCCTCCTTTCTCACTTTCCATCCCCCAATTTCTTTTTAATTAATCTTTTTCTAATATATATATATATATATATATATATATATAAACAGTTAAGCATGCTCATGCATTATAATACTTGATGGACGATCTTATAACCATGCATGTTCGCTGGAATGTTGCACACAGCTAGCCATATAAACAATGGTTGTGCTATGGGTGTATACAAGCATTTTTAGAGGTAGATGTCGTCATAAATAATTTGAGTTAGAAATGTGAATTTCTAAGCACAACACATATATATATAAATAGTATCCGTGAAGAAACATGTTGTACATAGAGTTGTATATGGACAAATAATATTTGGCCTACGTGCCAATAAAGCAAACAACGCTTTGACTATTGTTTTGTAAAAAAGTTTTAATTGGCCACGGTTTCTCATTTTTCAAATACCTTTTACTCATATTTCTTGCTTTTGATCTAAAGGGAAAGCGACTTCATTTTTTTATCGATGATAAATCTAGAAACAGTGTCAAATGTCTTTTTTTTTTAATCCAAAAATATTGTAAATTATCTTAAAATTAAAAAGTAAAAGTAAATAATAAAATATTAAGTTTATCAAGACATAATATCTTAATCAATAAAAAAGAACAAATCAAGCATTTTGCTTTGTTCACCACAAATCAGAGGGATTATTTATAAAGGAAATTTCATCGAAAAATGAGGGTTTTTGAATGATTTTCAATCAAATTTCTCGTTGGTAGAATATGGTTGAAAATGTAGGCTTTCGAGAGATTATTGACGGAATTTTCGACGGGAAGATCAGTCGAAAAAACCCATGAAAAATCCAATCCATTTTTGACAACCATGTCGTAGAATTTTCGATGTAATTTTAAGGGATTTTAGTCTTCGAGGAATTTTCGACAAATTTTGATCTTTGAGGGATTTCGGTGGATTTGATTTTCAAGGGATTTTCTACGTTAATTGGTCAACCATAGTCGACACTTTGTGATGAATTTGCATGGGGTTTTCATAGGATTTTAGACGGATTTTTGTCAAGAATCCATCACAAATTTCATGTATTAAAAAAAATAGAAGTACGTATTTATCTTGTATAGAATCTAAATCTGTCCAAACACAACTACAAATACAACAATCTAAAACTATAAATAGAGTAGTATAAATTTACCACACATAACTACAAATAGAGTAATTAAATTACAAACACAATATGTCTAGCTAAACTCGGGAGGGGGAGGCAGTGGGGTGAAGTGGATTGGAGCAGTGGTGAATATAACGACATGCTCCATCATTAGTCTCATTGTTCATTCTACTTATGTACCAACTGCTCTACCGCTACTTACACATATGTTCAAACGTTTGCTACTGCTTTGCTTACACTATCAAGAAACACGTTGATGACTTATACTTGATGCAATCCGATGCTACTCAATGCAAAAACAAAAATTGGATCCTGAAAGCATAAGCGGTCATGCTCCAAATGCTGGTAACTTTAATGAATCATTTGGTAGTTTTATTATTGGATTCAGAAGATATGAAGGGCTTGATAGTTAAGCTATAGTACGGGTTTGAAGGCACGGAATATACACTTGTATAAGCAAGCTAGAACCCGGAGTCGACAGTTGTTGCCATATGGCACGAGGGTCAAGGAAGTTGCCCTCTTACGAGGTCCTAGGCGCATCACCATTTTGTAACTACGTTTAAGTCTTATTCAACTAGATCTTTTTTTGGAAAAAACCAAGTTTGAGTCCAACTCGGAAATTAAGTGATATGATTTCTGAAATCACTAAGTCTTGACACTTCAAAGATCAGTTCAAAAGGCTTTGGTTCATAAAGTTACATGTTTTTTGAGATTTCGAAGTATGAAGAGTTTAGAAGGCAAATAATCTTATTAACTTCGTTCAGAAATTGAAGTTTAGAAAGCGTTCATTTTTTAAGGCAAAGACTTCATAAGATCAAACTTGGATTCTGAAAGAATACCTCCTTTTGAATTTTTAGTAAATATACCATTTTGTAACTGTCTAATAATTATTAGTTCTGGTAACTGATATCCTTTAAAAGTGTTTTAATTATAGAGTTTTATATACAAGATGTTACAACTTCTTTATGTTCATGTTCAAAATTTCATGATACATAAGCAGATTATGGTCAAAATATTACTTAAGGAAAACAAAATGTACATGATCTCAACTTTTGTCTAGGTTCCATTGGGATTTCTCACAATACACACATAACTTCTTCTTTAACACCGAGCATCATATTAAACCTAAGTATTAACCAAAGCAACCATATAAAGGTTTTTGCAACAAAAAAGGTGTCTGATACACTCATTTTGGGCGGATATCGTGGGATGGGGATGTGGAAAAAACTCTTGAGATAAACATCAAGTGTATGAAATTAAAGAAGAGAAGATGCATGCATGGAAAGTTTCATCGACGATCATTTGTAAAAAATGAATGAAATGTATATTTTTGTAAGAAAAACAAATAAATATGTTTAGTTTTTCCAATACTTGAACATCAGAGCATAGTCTAGATATATGGGAGTACATTAAGCATATAAAGTGAACTATATCCCTTTCAAAATTGTGAAAGACGGATCAAGGATGGAGAGAGAGTTAGGGGCCATTAGGTTGCGGCTTGATGGATTGTATAGCCTATATGACTTATTCGCAGAACCATAAATAGTTGTTCAGTTATGGCTTATACGCCCAGCCGATGACTTAATTAGTTAGAAAAAATAGATGTGTACTCTACATTCAACTATAATTATTCCAAACATGTCCTTGTTAAACCCCAGCCTCCACAAAAGAAATCTCATTGGAATTATTCAAGTTCCTCAAACCTTTCGGTCGGTCATCTCCAAACCATCCTCCTCGTTACCGATCATCTCCACACCACCATTGTAGACCTTGTCACCAATCATCTCCAACAGTACTCCCTTCCTCGTTGTCTTCTTGCATCAAAATTGGTTGTCCTTCTCTCCATCCTTCTCCTTATCGCTCCTTTCTTCTTTATTTTTTAACCTAAAGCTCCAAGTAAGCTTGTAAATCTATGTTCTTTGTAAATCTAGATCTGTTTTAAAATCAAAAAATTTGTGAACGATGTGTTTGCTTATTTCTCGATCTGTTTTAATTTATCAAACCTTCTTGATTTCTTGCTGGAAATCAAAGCGAATGAATTGGGTTTTGAAAATCAAGAAATCAAGATTCTTGATTTGCTGCTGGAAATTCATAAAGCACAACAATATGTGAGGATTGATTTTGGTAATTTTGTACAAAATACATTTTTATCAAACAATTATTTATTCAGATAAAAATATAGACCGGAGTAAAATGGTCATTTCTAACATTTATGGGCTGTTTGTTTACCTCTTAATGATACCATTAAGACTTTAAGGTCTGATTCGGTCAGACATTTTCTTGTTTGGGTAGGGTTTTAAAAAAGGTCTGAATGAAAACTTTACATCTGATTCGCTCCTTCACCCCCTAGCCCTCCATACGATTCAGATGCATATTTTTCCAGGTTTGCCCTCCCTTTTTCTCTAATCGTCCTTCTCTTCTTCTTCATCAAGCCATATTGGACGCTTC